TTGGAACGTCACGTCCTAGTCGACCGACGTCGGTCCGATTCCTGGGAGATCAGCGCCCTAGGGACAAACGACGTTCGGGTCCACTTTGGCGTTTAACTATGCGTACCTATGCTACAGCGAACGAGCAAACGCCCTCGGTCGCCCTACCTCTGCAACTGCATTATAAAAGCTTTCGCATGTGGGTCGGTAGCTCGGTAGGGATACGCCCCTAAGGGTGGTGACAGCCTCTTAGGGAAGGTAWGTTGTGCCCCGTGGAAACCTATCCTGTCGTAGGGGACCGTGGGATGTACAGCTGGCGTACTCGGCCTGAGCGGTAACGGGTCGACGCGGGTTACCAGGTTGTCCCCAAGATGTCTCTAAAAAGTTGGAAAGCTAAGTTTCTCCCGTGTGACGCGGCCGGGAGGGCCCTCGCTCACACGGGGGCTGATGCGCTCGACACCGCATATGTAAGAACGGAGTGCCTTTCTGCGAAGTGTGGAACCGTGGCTGCGTGGTAGAGGATGCATAACACATTTGGGTTACCTGTAACCACGTGAGAGTACTGTAGGCAAATGGATAGATGAGAACGTCACACCGGTTCACTGGGGAGATTTGAGGACAGAGGGAGGAATATTGTTAGGAATCATACTCGTGCACCTCCCAGAACCCAAAGCATATGTGTATGAAATTTTTCGAGCAACGGTGCTATGAGTCATTTGGTGGTAGATAAATTATGTGGTTAGAAACGAGGGTTTGTCATTGTTGCAACAACTCCTTAGCTACGTACGCAAGACTCTTCGACATAGGATCTGGTTGGACTGAGCAACAAAGATTAAAACGGCGATTTCTCTTCGAGCAGGGGTCAAGTGGTTCAAGGAAAGGTGGTTTGCATGCCCCTCTCTGCTGACAATTGACTTGTGCACATGGGACATATTTTTTTGTCATTTTCCCCAACAACCGCCGTAATCAGAAATTGGTGGCCATATAACTAGTTACATGTTGCTTTTCTTTTTTCTGATGATTTCCCCTCTTTCTAATAACTTGGGTTACATTGTGTAAAATTTATATGGGATAAATGTATTATACTCATGAAGTAACTCAATGTAATGTGTCAAATTAACTCATAGTATGTTATCGTGTAGCCTCTATAATTTATAGCTGGTTCAAAAATTGTAATCGGCTTGTAAGAAAACTTTATAATGGGTAAAAGGTAGTCGTATATAGTCCTTAAACCGGCACTACCTCCGAACCTGTTTTTATCGACCCTAAATTTAAGTATGTCTTGATTTTTGTCAAACCAAGGTCCCATTGAATTTTCTTTTATGGTAATCATCGCAAAGAGAAAAAAAAAAAACAAAGTTAGGGACGTGAAAACAACTCGATGTAAAGTCTGGGGTACATGTAAAAGTATGTATTGCCAACAGACATTACATTCTCACTGTAATCACGACACTTGCAAAAAAAAAAAAAAAAACGAAAAAAAAAAACTTTAAGTTTTTTATATGTGAAAACAACTAGATATGAAGTACGAGGTACAGGTGAGAGTAACTCTTCCCAACTACTGTTACAACCCCCCAATAATCACGCCAGTACTACCTCAACAGCAGAAAAAGAACAACAACGAAAAAAAAAAAAAAGTACTCTTTGTACGTGAAAGCAATCAACATATATAATCAACAGTACATATGAGAGTGCACCCTCCATGCAAAGTGTCAGTTGTCCATGAATTCCGCTCTGCCTCGCTGACAAGGTGCCAAAAAAAAAAAAAAAAAAAAAAAAAAAAAAAAACGAGAATAACAACAACGCAATTAACTATGGTTCTCGGTAGATGCATTCCTTCAAACACTGATGTGAGCACAAATGGTTCTCGGTCTTACCCAATATTGTTCCTTTGTATACAAGGTTTTTTTTTTTTTTTGGCAAACGGGCGTATAGGTCCCAACATCTGGTTTTAGTCGAGGCTCGCCCAGACCCACGAAAAATGTGGTGTGACGTATATTCTCATTTTCCCCAACACTGATAAAGGTAGTGGTGGTTTAACACTTTTTCGAACAACCACCGTACTTACTTAGTCTAATATAATAATTTGAGACTTAACTATGCTTACAAACTTGCCACTATAATACCATCGACCTCGAATTGACAAATTACACCTTAGCATGAAGTCAAACATTTTCCTGAATGTATTTATATAATATAGTTTAACAACACAATTTTAATTTTATAATTTACTGAACAAAGTATCAAGTATTTCAATACTCTTATAACATTTTTGCTTAAAAGTTTTTAGTAAGTTTGTACTCGGACATTATTTTATTATTATTATTATTTTTTAAAATCTTATAAACTATATGATATCCTCATATAATCATAGATTGTCTAGAGCTTGTACACCATGTCTGTTTACTGGTCGTTTTTAATAGTGTGTAAATTGAGCATAAGACTATTTTTCTTCACGCAAACTAGTTACAACTCATAATTAATATTTTGTTTTTAGTTCATGACTACTTCAAAACCACCATGTATTTCAATTACTTGTTCGAGTACTCTACTTGCTCTAACTAAGGCTTAAAATTATTAATTTTTTCTCATTTGATAAGTTATTTAATTAAGTTATTAAACCTCTTATGTAGTGGATACCTTTGATTCAACTTTACAAAGGTTATCCTTCTTCTTATAATTGTGATTTTAAATTTTATATTATCTCATACGTATTGGTAAACAAATCACACATTGCTTATTTGAGATTTGTACTCTATTTTTTTCGTCAACAACCTTGGACGAGATTCTTTTAAAATGAAAAAATAATTACGTTGAAGTGGATATGACATGCTTTAAATAAACATTATAGTGAGACAATATTGACTAAAAGTTTGAAGCACATCCTTAAAATGACGTCTCAAGTATTAATATGACAGATATAAAAAAAACTACTTAAAAATAACAAGATGTTTATAAGGATTTGTCACAAAACCTTCCTCAAAATGTAACTTAAGGAGAAACAATTAATCCTTAGTTTTTTTTAATAAACCAGCTAATGCATCTCATATCCTAACTTCCACAAGTTTGACAACCTTATTAACTTTTATGCTATACGATTTTGTCTTTATATCTAATTGTTACCTGTGTGAGAAGGGATGAGCATAACAATGGAATGTGTGTGCTTTTATTGACAATGATTTATCCTTGAAATACATTTTGAAAGACTAGTCGTACAGAGAATGCGAAAAATCCTTAAAAAGGACAAATTTATAAAAGGATACGTCATAAAGCATCAATTATTTATAAATGTAATTCAAAGAGAAACAATTAGTCCTTAATTACTTGATGAAAAAGTTAATAGGTTTAGTACCCGACTACTATGAGTTTACCAACTTTTTATTTTTATTTTTATGTGGGTCAATGAACTATTACACTTGGTAGATGTTATATTGATCATAATAAATATTACACTTGATCCTGACAAAAAGTTCGATAAAGGTATATGGGATTAGAAACCCGATTAACCTTTGTGTTATCGATTTTTGTTTTTATGTAGTAGTTATTAGACGAGTAGTTGGCCTCCCTTGTGTGTAAATAGGGGGAAGCACAACAATAATGTGTTGTGCTTTTATAATGTTGCACCAATCATTCTACACACTATGTTAGTCATCCATTTGGTGATATATTTTAGGCATGACATATGGGTAATCATACTCTGGTGAGTAGCTGACCCAGGTTTTTCTCCACCTAAATATATTATGAGCTAAGAGTAAAATGCCCGCTGTATAGCTTGGCTAGGTGGCTAACGACTAGGCACAACCCTTATCAATAACTATAGTATGTAACCAATAATTACTTGTGGCAAGATCATTACCGAACTGCCTTGCACACGCAGACACACTCACACACATAGACACACATACACACACACACATACACACACATACACACACACACATACATACATACACACACATACACACACATACGCACACTCACAGAGTGTGTGTGTGTGTGTGTGTGAGAGAGAGAGAGAGAGAGAGAGAGAGAGAGAGA